CAAAACAACGATCCAAGTAACCAAAGTTACTCGATAAAGATTAAATGAGTCCTCGAGACGCATAAAGTAAAAGCCGACAAGATAAATGTGATCTCTTTAACCACGCAAAAATATCTGACACGTACACTCGTCGGCACATTTGCGATTTCATCAATATCTCTCATTTCGCGTAAATCCTAACGCCATAAAAAGAGCTCGAAGCTCAAAAGATCATGAGGCGAAAACACTGCCAAATTGTAAAAAATAAACGCGACTTCAGAACAGTTCCATCCAGAACATGTCCTAAACTCGGGGGCCTCCTGTTGATACCCAATTTGGCTCCAATTAAATAACTGTTAAATAAATGATAAACGAAATAATAAAATGCGGCCCAATAACCTAGGAGCCGAAAGTACGTAAAAAATAAATATACAAACAGATATTCCAAGTTGATCGTTCAAAGGCCGACCAGACCCGGTACGGAGCCGGACAGAATTTGAGGTGCCCGATCGGTACAGATATCCTAAAGAAGCTGCCTCCGAAAAGACGCCACAATAGCCAAAAAGATGAACGTCAACCGGGATCGTCAAAAGCCATAAATGGGCCCTACAATAATGTACCATTTTTTACTTATTTAATTAGCCCACTTGTAAAGAGAGGGCCATGTATATATATGCCAAAAAAAGGGGAAAAAAAAGGGGGACTTCTCCTCATTTTTTTTCATTCTTCCCCACAATACAAGAGAAAGAGAGAGAGTAGGGGAGGTTGGATGGCTCTCTCCATTTTTCACCTTCTTCCCAAAACATAATAAAGAAATACCATTTTTCCATCTATTTTGTTCTTCATTCTAATATATAGATTCGAATTATATTTGACGGTTGATCGTCCGATTTTCGACATCAACAGAAGTTATGGGTGGGGAAGATTCTGTGGATGCATTTGTTAATGAAATGACTGATGATGAGGCTGATGAAATGACTCAAAATGAGGGATAAATAGGTGATGAGGTGTCTGATGATTTGCATGATAGTGATTATGGGATGGAAGAAGAATGTAGTGATGATGATAGGATATTTGATAGATTTGTTGATGAAATCCCAGATGTAGATGATAGTGATTTCAATGAAGAAGATGTAGTTCATAATGAGCCTCAGTTCAATGAAGCAGATGATGGAGAAGAAGAGAGCATACCCATCTTTAATCCTGCTACTGTCTATGACCCAATTTTTAAATTGGGTATGTTATTTAGTAGCAGGAATGAATTCAAGCAGGCTGTGCAATCTTATGGTGTGGCTTGTAAGAGGAGTGTCAGGATCACTAAAAGTGATCCATGCAGAGTGTATGTGAGGTGTTATGAGGAAAGTTGTCCCTTCAAGTTGCATCTTTTAAAAGTAAAGAATGAAGAGAGTTTCTTTATTAAAGAAATTCATGTGCAGCACACATGTCCCACTACATTCAAAGTTAAGAATGTGAGGACTAATTGGCTCACTGAGAAGTATTTGTCACAGTTTAAGTCTGATCCCAACAGAAGTGTTAAAGGGTGGAGAAAGGATACTGTGGAGCAACTTAGATGCAGTGTTTCTAGAGACCAAGCTTATAGAGTGAAGAGAAGAGCTCTTAAAATTTTGCAGGGTTCTTCAGATGAGCAGTATTCTAAACTATGGGATTATACTGAGGAGTGAGAAGATCTAACCCTGGATCCACTGTTATTTTTGGAACATGTGATGATGTTAATGGGGATAATAGGTTTAATAGGTTGTACATCTGCTTTGATACATTGAAAAAAGGGTTTTTGGCAGGCTGCAGACACATAATAGGAATAGATGGATGTCACCTAAAGGGTCCACACAAAGGTATCTTATTAACAGCAGTGAGTGTAGACCCTAATAACAATTTGTTTCCTATCTCATTTGCTGTTGTGAGTGGTGAGACCACTGAAACATGGGGCTGGTTTTTAACAATTCTGAAGAGTGATTTGTGTATAGGGTTGGAAAACTTCATTATCATGTCTGACAAACAGAAAAGACTTATTCAATTAGTTACAGATGTCTTTCCTTTAGCTGAACATAGGCATTGTGTTAGACACTTGTGCAATAACTTCCAAAATGCTGGGTTTAGAGGGCTAGCTTTCAAAAATGCATTGTGGAGTGCTGCCATGTCAAAAACTAAGGTTGAGTTTAGCCAAAAAAATGTCCCAGCTGAGGGACTTGAATGAAGCTGCATGGGAGTGGTTAGCTGATAAACTACCAGAGCAGTGGTCAAGGTCCCATTTTAAGAATGATGTGAAGTGTGATATGTTGCTGAACAATTGTTGTGAGACCTTCAATTCCAATATACTGGAAGCTAGAGAGGAGCCAATAATAACAATGTGTGAATGGCTCAGAGGTTATTTGATGGAAAGAATGCAAAAAAATAGGGATAGAGCAAGAAAATGGAAGGGGATTCTATGTCCTAGAATATTAGAGATTGTTGAGAAGCATACAAATGGTGTGGCTGACTGTTATCCAGTGAAAGCAGATGATTGGCACTTTGAAGTCAGATGCAGCAATGGTTCTCAATTCTGTGTGAATTTGATTGACAAATCTTGTACATGCAAATCATGGTCATTGTCAGGTATACCTCGCAACCATGCACTTAGTGTTGATTTTTTTATCAGAAGGGTTCTATTGAGGACTTTGTGTCTGAGTGTTACACGGTTGAAAAGTACTTAAATGCATACCAACACACCATATATCCAATCAATGGTGCTGCTCTGTGGGGCACTCAAAATTTTGTATCTCCAATGCCACCAAACTTTAGAAGAGGTGCAGGAAGACCACCAAAGGCAAGGAGAAGAGAGACAGATGAGCCTTCTTCTAAACACAAAACAAAGCTCAGAGCAAAATATCTTGCCAGAATGAGGAGGCAGCAAACATCTCTCAATTGCATGAAATGTGGCAGTTCAAGACATAATTCAGCTACATGTGGAAAAAGGAAAAGGACCTCAATGACTGTAAGTGTCTTTAATATTGTTTTAATTGAAAATAATCATAAAATTTTTAATAACTTGATAATTTGTTACTTCAGCAGGTAGGTGTTAACAACTCCCTCAACCAACAAGCAAGCTCCTTGAACCCAACAGTTTTCACACAAGAGATCCCCACTCAACAATCCCAGACTCGCTTTATGCCAACTTCAAAGCCACATGTGCCAGGCCCGTCAATGTATGATCAACTAATGGGTACCAACATGCCACAACCATCAAGAGCTACACATGGACCTATTATCAGAGGGCCTGCAGCTTTCACTGGAGAAAGACCATTATTCTCTGCAGGAAGTAGCATAACATCAGTCTCTGCAGCTTTAGTAGTGGTGGTTGACCAGGGCAAGAAATTCATGGTACTCAACCGGCAAGACAAGGCAAAAATGATCCTGTGTAGTTTTTATGTTGATGTTTAGATTTTAGATTTTGTTGGTAATAGATGGTTGGCAATAGCAGGTTGTTGTTTTTGAGAACTTAATGGCAGATCTTGTTGGTGTTTATTGTGGATTTAGATTGTGGATTTTGTTGGCAGTAGTTGGTTTTGGTGTTTGTGAAGTCTTTGTATTGACAATTGTTGGTTTTTGTTTTAAACTCTTTGTATTGCCAATAACTGGTATCTTTTGAACTTTTTGTATTTGGCAATGAATGGGAATGAGAATTATTGCTTTTTAAAATGCTCTTGTGTATTTATTTACATGGTTAAGTAATTGTGACAGCATCATTACAATAGGTTTAAAATTTAGTAGTACACATCAAACACAAACATAACAATACACAAGTTAAATTCAACAGAGCCTTCACATTCCATTAAACTTGAAACACATGAATACATTAGTTCAATATCTCTTACAATAACTTAAGATATCCAAAACTCAACATCACACATCAAACCATTACAGTGCATGTCCCTAAAATAAGTAGTACACATTAAACCAACATAACTTTAATAAGTACTACAACCATTACGCCCTAAAATAAGTACTACAACTACTAGCATTACACATCAAACCAACATTTTCATGCATGTCCCTTGGGGCATTCTATCCCCAGTGCAGAACAACAAAGTGAAAATAAGAAGTACCAACAACAATACACAATACATTTTTGACCTTTTCTTCGCTTTTTTCAAATTGTTGACTTGTGCTTTCAGAATCTTGTTTTTTTCGATCAAATTAGAAAGCTTAGTAATTTCGACTTGCATCTTCTCAATTTCCACTTGCATCATTTTGATTTCATTTCTTTTTTCATTCACTCTGTTCAGTAAGCCTGGGATAATTTGTTGAGACCGATGACACATAGGTGGCTCAGCCAAATCAAAGTAGTTACATCCTTTCCCCTGTCAAAGCCATAAAAATAATATCTTGAACAAAAAAATTAAGAAAAGTTAGAACAATTGGGGAAACAAATCGAAACTTACTAATTCCAGTTAGAACAGGAGAAAAATCTTCTTCCACAGTTGGGATACTTCCATGAAGTTTGACTCACGACTCTATACCCGCAAGGACAATCGACATTTCCAGTAATCTCATACATCAATTTCGATCGATTGAAAAGGAAAATGTTAGGGTTTTTGAGTCGATTTAGGTTTTTAAGGATTTGATTTGGGGCTGAAAATGAGTGTTATTGTCGATTATATTGAGGTTCCAGACACGTGAGCATCCACGTCGGCTAAAAAATATCGAGTCAGCACTTACCGGTCATTTTAGGTTACCAGATCTAAAATTGGGCACGGGTTCCACGTTTTAACAAGTTCCATGGCATTTTTGCAAAATGGAAAAGAAGCTGTCTTGTTTTGCCACATGCCCTGAATTAGGCGAAATTACAATTTTGCCTAAATTTTTTTCTTCTTCATTTTTTTTTTCTTTCGGACTTTCTGGTTTTTTTTTTCCTTGATTTAATCACTTGTAACGGTTAGAACAAGGTTTTCATGTGTAAAAGATCTCGATGGCGGCACACGAGTAGCGGCCTTTGATCGAGGCAGCGCAACTGACGGCTGAAGACGGAGGCTTGCGGCTGCACAACCAATCGCGGGATTCAGCAGGGGCCCGACCCTTGGTCCCGGCTCGTGAGTGGCAGAGACCGTCGGGCTGGTAGCAGATCGGAGCCGGGGTTCATCACGGAAGTGTAACTCGTTGCCTCGGATCTGTGTGACCCATCGACGGCGCGATTGAAGGTTGGGGAGGTGGCGCTATGGAAACTATAGTTTGTGGGGGCTGTGATTTCCTAGTGCTTGAATTATTGGCTTCCGCTGGACTACTCTTTAATGTTTTATGACGATGATTGGTCTGAATGTGAGGTGGATAGAGTTGTGAGGTTTCGATGCGCAGCAAAAAGGGGTTGGGAGCCATGGCTACGGTTTAGCAGGAGACGAAACATTGATTTGAGGATCAAATTCGAGCGCCGGTTGGATAAAAGATGACGATAATCGTGCGCAAAACGACGAGTTTTTTGCTCCAAGGACTTGATATATCTGTGAGATCCAGGTTTTTGCAAAGAGATGTTTGAAGCTTT